CTCTCTGAGCCGCTAGTTTAGCTACAACACAGCTGAACAGTGTGAATGTGCTTCTAGTGACCCTAACAGTTTGTGTTTCCAGCATGGACACTGAGTCTGACAGCAGCTGCTCATTAGCTTGCTGTAACGCTGCTGTGGTCAGTCTGTCGAGGCCACGCCCCCTAAAGTCTCTGACCTCTGCAGGTCTCTGATGCATTTTTTACATTTGCTGATAGTGAGCAGAGCTGAAGGGCAGGCTGATGCAGTTGAAGCCAGTTATTGGTTTGACAACTGCTCGCTATGGGTGTGTTCATGTGCTTATGGAAAACGTAGGAAAAATGCTAATTATTAAGCAACAGTAAAGACAGTGTACCTTGGATTTAAACTTACAAGTCATTATGGAGTAAAATGCAGCAGTCGCTAATGGACTGTTAGTAGCCATGCAACCTGGGGGTCGGGAGCTTCATAGGGGGTCGCTAAAGCTTCACAGGGAAGCGAGGCATTCTTGATTTTAAGGCGTGTAAGAAAAATTTATTGTAAACTTCAGAGGCTTTGGCGACCCCTAGTGGAGGTCCAGACCCCCCAGGTTGGGAACTGCTGGGTTATACCATTCATGGGGGGTTTAAGCAACAGCCCCTTAAAATGTCAGCTCACGTCCCCGTTTAATAACACTTGAAGGCCTGATGGGACGTTCCATCGACATATAAAAGATAGACATTTCCATTTCCTTCCACTGTACAACAATGAAGCCAAAATATCCAGATACGGCCGCCCCTATCTTTCTCCATTCGGAGCCAGAGTCTGTGCAAGGGTTGGCGCCACGGTATCGAGGTATTGACTCAATGGCGAGCAGGGCCCCTTTTTAAAGCTTCAAATAACAAATAAAACTGATCAGAAAATGGACACTTGAACAAACATCTTGGGCTTTATACTTCAGTCAGCCACCAGGGGGAGAAAGAGATGTTTTGGCTTCACTTTTAGATAGCTGTCACGTAGTCCATCTTTATATACGTCGATCTGATGTTCAGGTCACACACACTTTACCAACTCGCACACTCGAGAGGTTCTTACAGGTCTTTCTTTCGAGTCAGGGACTCCACAGCCGTCTGAACGCTGTAGTGAATGAAGGGCAGAGCGGCGTCAGGATGAGTTCACACATATGGACGTGATGTTTGAGGCGGAGGAGAAGTTTTCCTTCTCACTGTTACCTTTCTGTGTCGCTCTCATCGCTCGACTCCACCTCCTCCAGGGCGGCCTGCAGGTCAACGATGCGGCGGATGGACGTCTCCAGGTCGGCCTGTAACGTCTGTCTGACGGCGCTCAGCTCCTCCACCTGCATTTCCTGTAAACAAACATTGACACTCACCTTCAGCATGTCGGCCATGTGTGTGTGTGTGTGTGTTTCCCGCCCTTCCCCCCTCCAACCTGTTCAGCCCAATCCGCCACAGCAATTACCTGCATTCTGGCCCATATTACCTCATCAGTCAAACACTGAGCGTCCAATGGCGCGTCCTCTCTCTCGTACAGTCCTACGACCTACCAGCCCGCGGTGCTGATCGCTGCCCGGCTTATTTAGGGAGAAAATTGTTACATACGCGCGCTGACATTGAGAGAATAGGATTGATTTATTAATTCATCTGTTGTTGGGTTTTTTTTGTTCGTTCTGTCTCTCCTGCATCCTGTCACACGAACACACACACACACACACACACACACACAGAGAAAAGCTTCTAGGCTTTCAAAGTTATTGGCTTTGTTGGCTTTGAGGAGACGGGTGTGGGTGCAGCGGTTGTCATAGAGACACATAACCATGTATGAATGTGTGTGTGTGTGTGTGAGTGTGTGTGTGCCCATAACCTTGAAGAGACAATGAGGATTAATCACAGTCAGAGAGAGAAAGCAGGATGAGGGAGAGATGACGTTGAGAGGAGGAGGAGGAGGAGGAGGAGGAGGAGGAGGAGGAGGGTGTGTGTATGAATATGTGTATTAATGTGTGTGTGGTTTGTATAGTTGCTTGGTAGTTGTTAAAGGGCTCCTTGGTGTGTGTGTGTGTGTGGTGTGTGTTTGTGTGTTGCTTTCTTTGTGCTAATAACGGAATAATTATTGAAGCTCCTCTTTTACTGAGCACAGAGGTCACACAGTCTGTATCTGACCTCCGCAGTGAGAACATTCATCAGATCCATGTGTTTGTATTCGTTGATGTCATACATCAGATTGGATTGTTGTAGTGTCACTGGGTGTATGTAAACGTAGCATAATTAAATCTGTGATATTAACAATAAAAGTCCCCCAGTCCAGCAGCTTAGGAGAGCTAACGTTATGCTACAAGACAGAGAGCTGAGAGAGAACAAAGTCAGTAACAATGCGTACGGTCGTGAAACAGTAAATATAATTTGACAGTATGTTTAACAACAAGACCAGCTCGCTATCAGCCATGTCATTGTCCCCAAAGAAATTACCTACTGCAGCTTTAATCATAACAAAAGTCCATATTTACCACCGCGGTATCACAAGAAATACCAAATCTTACATAGAGTTGCTTTAATTAACATTTTTAATGCATTTGTAATGGAGTATTTATAATACAAATTGCACTCAAACAGTGAAAGAAGTATTGAGATTATTTATATAAGTAGAAATATCATAAATGACAGAAATGAAGCTGAAAAGTATGAAAATAAGATCTAAGTTGTTGTTATAAATAACATTAATAGCTTATAATTGATGCACTAATAAGCAGTTATTTCATATGTTAGATACCTGCGTATTTACAGGTAAGATTATTACATTTATGGCTGTGTATCAGTTTATTTTCTGGCCTGTGTGGAAAGTCCACCAGTTAGAGCAGCTCTGTAACAAACATATCCTAGTTGGCAAACTGTTATTATAGAAATAAAGTTCATCCCTCATATGAAGATGTAATTATCAGAGAATGTGTAGGAGTGTTTATGTGTGCAGAGGCCCTCCCTCCTGCTGTCAGCGCTTGCAATGATCAAACTTGTGAAGTAATGAAAGTGATGTTTTCTAATGTTCCAGATAATACGCCAGCTGTTGTTTTTGTTAATGAGAACAGTGGAGAAGAGCCCGGGTTTTGGGAGAGCGCTGTACTTTCAATCATAGCCCGGAGGAAGTGTTTGCTGCCAGAGCTTTTTTTTTTAAATTACCAGCCTCGCTTTAAAATGTTGTCTCGCAGCCTGGATGTGAGTAACGCCTGTTGGGGTTTATATTTAGCTGCGTCAGCGGCGCCCAGGTAGTAGCGGCGAGGATCTGTGTGCAGGTGGCGAAATGTCAGACGAAAAGTGAGGAACTGTTCTGTTCCTCTAACTATCTCCGATCCAGACAAGAGGTTGCTATTTGTCTTGTGATGGAACGCCAACACTTTTATCTGCTGCTTTTTTCCCTTAAATGTGCCAAAAGTGTGACATACAACAGTGGTTCCCAACCTGGGGGTCTGGACCCTCACTATGAGCTGCCAAAGCTTCAGGGGGGGGTCCTATGGCCTTCCTTATTGTAAGTGGTGCAAGAAATCTTTAAAAATATTCAAGATAGGCCTAAATAGTCTCTGTGTTTTGTTAATTTCTATGAAGAAAACTAAATGAAATTGTTGTTTTTAATGTTCAGATTATTATTTAAGAACAGAAGCTGTATCCTCAGAGCCTTCAGTTTCTGATAAACAACCTCATCCTGCATTAGAAAATGGAGAAGAAAAGACTGAATTTGTTGAAAAAGAAGCCAATGAAGTGTATGTGATTGTTAAAAATAAAGAAAATACATAATACAGATGAAGAATTGTATAAAAGGTTCATAATATTCAAGAAAAATATAAATATTTACAGGAAATAATCTGCTAGAACTTCCTACAAATCTCTGGTTTTACACCAACTTCCTGCTGTTGTTGCGTCCACTGTTTGGGTTCATTGTGCAGTTTATCAGAGGTCGTCAGTTAATTCATTGATAGAAAGAAATGATGAAAAAGGTTGGGAACCACTGACATAAAAGAATAAAATAAGAGAGAACATTTCTGGGAGTAAACCAGGATGTCTGTCAGGCTGTTAGCTTTCCCACTGCTTCCAGTCTTTGTGCTAAGCTCACAGCTTCATAGTTACTGGACAACCATGAGTGTGGCACAAGCAGCGACCTCTGTGAATTTACTGTCCAAACTGTGACCAGTACTGTGTTTTAAATGGACAAGAATAGAGTAATGAACTGTGATTATAAAATACAGTAAGAAAACAGTACTTTAGATACAGTTAATCAAGTTTTAGAGGATGCTTTAATGGTTATGAGGTTGCTGCTGTTATTTACGGTGTTTAATGCGAGTGTCGGTGTGAGGGTTTGTTACCAGCTCCATGCGTCTGCGGCCGCTGTCCTGCTCTCTCTGAATCAGCTCCTCCATCTCCAGCCTCATGTCCTGCAGGCGCTGCTGGTAGTATCGGGCGTTCTCTCTCTCCCGAGCTTCGGTCTGGGCACTCTGCTCCAGCTCCTCTCCCAGACGGACCACGCTGTCCCTCAAACGCAGCACCAGCACCTGTACAACCCAGGACAACGTTCAGGTAAAAGCCCTGCAGGGAGGGGGGACACTGTGGAGAGTGGGAATGCATTCTCACCTCAAACCTCTTCACTTGGCCTCTCTGAAACTCCAGTTTATTCTCCAGGTCACATACACGTGCCTCCTGTTTACTGACGATGCTGCGCCCCACAGTGGACGACTCCAGGAACTGCACCCTCGACACACACTGCTGCAGCTGCATGATGGGTGAGGTGGAGAGAGGAGAGAGACAGATGAATGCACATATACGCCACCGAAGGTCTGTAACTGCACATTGGGGTTCACGTTCTGATGGTCTCACCTCCTCGTGGAGAGAGTGCCGCTGCTTCTTCACCTCCTCCAGTTCGGCCTGAAGCTCTCTGATCTGAGAAATATCACTGGAGGACTAAACCAGAGAGAAAGTGAGGCAGAGATTCAACTTCAGGATGAATTAAGGTTAAAGTTAGGTAGGTTCCCAACCTGGGGTTCAGGCCCCCCACTAGGGGTCGCTAAAGCTTCACAGGGGATCGTGAGGCCTTCTTGATTTAAAGACCTCTAAGAAAACTAAATAAAAATATACACAGAAGGCCGATATTTCAGCGTATGGTTCATTTCTTTGAAGAAAGGTAAATTGTCTGATAGAACAATGACAGGATAACACTGAATTGTTCAGAAAAAAAGCAGATTAAGTCTGTATGACTGTTAAAAATGATTTAAAAATCCATAATACAGACAGATAATTGTATAAAAAGTTCCCTAAACAAGAAATAATCTGCACAAAATTCATCCAAATCTCTGGTGAATCCGAGTTCACTGTTTGGGTTAATTGCACAGTTTTTAATATAATATTAAAAATCCAGAAAATATGTAACTGAGTCAGTTTTCCTGGTAGAAACCTCCTGAACGATGAACACTGAAGGAATCCTTACTGGGAGAAGCTGACTGCAATTCCCATGATCCCACACTACTTCACCAAGCTTTGTCTTTTTTTATTGTTTTGATGTGAGAGACCCCCAAGTGGCAGAATTTACATATTGTGCATTTAAGACACTTTAAGGTTTAAGATTATTGGATTAATAAGAGCTAGAGAGAAACGGTGGAGCGACAGCCGTACCTGAGCGATGAGCGCTTTGTGCTTCTTCATCAGTTCATTCAGGTCTTCCTGGTCCTCCTCAAGTCTCTTCAGCAGGTCCACCTTCTCATGCTGCAGCAGAGCCAACTGCTCGTCCACCTGAATGAAGATAAACAGGTGTGATTTCAGTTTATATCAGCAGTGTTCCCCGCAGGCACTTTGGAGGATGTTATCTGAGTTCTGACGACTTCTGATGAGATTATGTTCAACAAAGGTACAAAGAAAGAGTTTTTTCCTCCACAATAAATGTATTTTTAATTACCACTTTAAAACAAGTTGTCTGGTTGATTAGATTACACTGTAAAACCAGATAAATTAATTTAACTCCAAGAAACACTAACTTAATTTTGTAAGTTAATTAAGCAGCTTTAGTATTTTAAGTGACACTTTATTTGTATTGTGAAAACAAAATACCCAGTAAAAAGTACTTTAACTTACAAAACTAAGTTACTGTCCCTTAAAATCACTAGTAAAAGCTTCTTCATCAAGAATGTTTTTGAACTTACAGAATTGAGTTTGTGTTTCTTAAAATTTTCAATGTAATCTATTTCAACACTTTTTTGAGTTAAAATAACTTATTGCATTACAGTGTACTAAATAAAAATTAAATTTTTCAACCTTATTTATGTCAACACAACTCATCGATTTTTATTCATTTCTGTGAAGAAAACTAAATGAAATTGTTATTTTTAAGGTTTAAATTATTATTTAAGATTTAAACTTTGAAGACCTGAACACAAACTATATTCACAGAGCTTCACTCTCTGATAAACAGCCTCCTGCGTTAGAAAACAACCAAAGAGCTGATAGAACAATGTGCAGAAAACACTTAAAGTGTCAAAAGAAAGACAGAAAGAAGCATATCAAGAAAACTCGTTTTACACAAACTTCCTGCATTAGTGTGTTCACTATTTGTACAGTTTATCAGTTGTTCTCTACTGTTAATGTTGCATTAAATATAATATGAAATATCCATCAAATCAGCCAGTTTACTTGTGATAGTAAACAGGTCCCTTAAGGGAAAGCAATGAATACTGTGTGCTGACAGAAAACTCTCCCTCATGTCAGTTTCATCTCAATCATGCTTTTGTTTCTACGCTCATGTTTAATCTGTCACCTGTCTGAGCCCGTCAAACCCACACTCACCATACTCTTCAGTTTGCAGATATTTTCCAGTTCGATCTGAGTGTTCTCTAGCTCCTGGGACAGAGTTGTCTGAATGCTCTCGGCCTCCAGCCGCCTCGCTTCGCTCTCCTCCAGCTAATTGGCGATACAGAGAGTTTGTGAATCGCACAATACGTACAATATGTAATTATCTCCTGTCACAGTCGACCTATTGTTCAACAATGTCACCAAAGCTTTAGCCAACATGATAAACAGCAGGATTTCCCTACCATTACTGTATTGGCTTTTAGGGAATGAACAGACTCTATTAGCTTACCCTGGTTTCTTTTAAGTGCAATTTTTGTATCCATATGTAAGATTTTGAAGCATTTTACGTATTATTTTTATGTATTAATCTTTTTTCTTTGCCAATGTGTGAACAGGTTGTAACGTAACTTAAAAAAAATACTTTCTTGGTTGCCTGTGGACGGATTTAAATGTGTTTTTATGTTTTTATCATGATTCCCTACAGTGCGCAACACTAGCTAATGTTATCTTAGAAATGACGTCGCTAATCGGTAGCTAAATCTGAACAGGACGCCGACTGCAGTTCACTTAATGGCCACTGGTGGTGCTGTTAACAACAGTTTTATAAAAGTTACATATAGAGAGTTCATTTTATGTATTTTTTTCACCTTCTAACTAAAAGTGAATTGCTCTTTGAATCATTCAATCATCGTATCATTACATCAGGTGAGTGTACCTGGCAGTGCAGACGCTCTATCTGCTCCCTGCTGCCGTTGGGCAGGTTCTGCCCCGGGTTGTCGACGGTGGAGAGGAGCAGCTGGGCGTCAGCCAGCAGCGCATGAGTCCTCTTCAGGTCTCTCCTCAGCTTCTTCTCCACATCGAAGTCTCTGTGCCCCACCTGCAAGACGAGACACATTACATTAATCTTATCTGGAAAATCTTCCCTCTAAACACTTGAAAACACTTGAACTTGAGCTGTACGCCAGCTTGGCCACGGACCAGGACCGGGCCACTCATCAAGAGTCCATTACAGTGACAGAGACAGAGCGCTAAATTAGCTGCATATGCTTGTTTTGTGGTGCCTGTAATGTAGCGATGATGTATTCATCAGCTAGAGAACTTTAACCCACAATAATAATGATCTATGACGGACTCTCACTGTGGGAATAAACCTCACACACCCAGAAATCAACCAACGTAACGATGAGCCTGATTTCATGTGAGTAGTTCAGTGCGTGTGTGTGTGTGTGTGTGTGTGTGTGTGTACCTGGTCACACAGAGTTGCTATGAGTCCTTCCAAGTCGTGCTTCTCATGAATCACCATCTGTTTCTCTTCGTACTCCTGCTCCAACTGCATCTCCAGCTGCCTCAGCTACACACAGCACACACACACACACACAAAAAGACAAAAATGATAAACGGCCACTCTGATCGAGCTTTTATTGTCCTTGACAGGAAGTTTCCCCCTACAGCAGGATGCATAATGATCAGCATAAAAACTTCATCAGCGTCTGTGGAGGTGCGTAAAGACATAAACAGCACAGAATTGCGGAGTCCGCCAGTCCCAATGATCTTCTGTTGGATAAATCAGACAGAGTTTGGTCAGTTAAAGTCTTCATCAAGGTACCAGACTGAAGTACGAGTACATATATTATGCATCACATACTATTCACATGTACAGATTTCACATTAAAACCCTCCAAAATTGTACAAATTGTAGGCGTAGTACAGTTCACAAGCATGGTGGATTGTCATTAAAAATAAAATAATAGAGACAACAAAGACTCCCCTCGGCATCTAGCCTTCATTCCTTGCCAGTTGTTCCAAACCCAGGGGTCGGGCCCCCGACTAGGGGTCACCAAAGCTTCACAGGGGGTCATGAGGCCTTCTTGATTTTGTGTGAGAAAACTTAAAAAATACACACAGTAGGTCTATATAAATGTAAATCGTCTAATAGAACAACGGTCAAGCACCAGGGAAGAGAAAATAAGCTTATTAATGTCTGTATTGTTCAAATGATTAAAAAAAAACATAATAAAGACAGAGATTTGTATACAAAGTTAAATAAGGGAAATAATCTGCTCAAAATTCATTCAAATCACTCATTTTACACAAACTTCGTTTACTATTTGGGTTCATTGTACAGTTTTGAATAATAATAACAATAATAATAAAATGAAATATCGAATAAAATATGTCCCCGAGTCAGTTTACTAAATGACAGAAAAGAGGAAAAAGGTTTAGAACTGCTGATGTAGGAAGAACCTTACAGAATATATAACATATAAGTCCTATATAATCAATAAATAGAGACCATGCATGAAAAAATAAACCAGTTTTACCTGTAGACCAGCATGTTATATATTCTATAGGTAATAATATGCTTTAACGTGCAGCATAGGTTAAAACATTTAGCTTTTTTTTTCATCTGCAAGTGCCCTTAATTTGTGAATGTAGCATTACTGGATCAGAGTCTAATTCTTTATTAAAAAGAGATTTAGCTTTAAAACTACTTTCACCCAGAAATCCTGTTTTTAAAGGTAATGTAATTAATTTGCTTTAGTGGAAGAAAATTCTGTTTACACATTTTAAATAAGTTTGGAGAAATGCTGCACGAGTTTAATATACTTACTAGTTTTAGTGCTATTAACTAAATGTACCTTTCCTTAACAATAAATTAGTTACTTGTACTCAAAGCTTTGAGTTAACTCATCAGGTTTTTACAGTGCAGTTTGAAGTACTTTTGTTTTTGTTTTATTTACTTTAATATTCTAATTTTCTGCTACTTTATATTTCTACTTCACAACATCTCAGAGGGAAAATACTTTTTACTGCATTTATATGATAATTTCAGCAACAAATACATCCTGAAGTACTATTATAGGTGAAGATAAAACTTTATTGATCCCTTGGTGGAATTTTTACAAGCTGTGCTAGAATGAATAAAACTAATAAGAACTAATATCAGTGCATTTGTCAATGTCTGGGGCCCCGTTCTCAAGTACACTGAGATTTATTCAGATATTCCAAACTAATGAATTAATTCTGGAGGGGTACGGCTGTCCTGGACCCTCGCAACCTGTCGCAGTCAAGCACTTCCCAGGTGACGTCTGTGAGGGTTCAGGGATTTGTTTGCCTGTTTCGATGGCCTTATCCGGTTTTCATCTGTGCCTGTTTTGTTTATTTTTGTTATTACATCATCTGATCTGCCCTTCTTTGTCTGCATTTGGGTCCAATCTCCTGTTCTCTCCCAGCTCGACGAGGGTGACAAAAACCTGTGCGAACGTCGTGCTTTCTGTTTGATGTAACTGCAGAGAAGTGATGTAACTGCTGTCTGGTTGCATAACATTATGAAGCAGGAAAAAAAAAAGTGGATCATTCAGTGAAAAGATTTAGCCGAGGAAGGACATTCAAAAATCTGTACACACAAAATACTGCTCTCTTACACAACAAAAGGCTTTTAAGTTCAGCGTTAGTAGAGACTGAATTTTCTTTTTTTTTCTGAAGCTGATTCTCCTTTTATCAGTTGAAAGACTGCATCATGTTCGGAACATGTTTTAAAGGTTTTCTCAATAAAGAGAAAGTTCAAACTCGCATCCTTGGAAGTTTGAATTTAGCCGACGAGAACGGAAAGAGGCTTAGAGTGCAGCTGGAACAACCGTGTCCAGCTCTGCAGATCAAGGCTGGAGAGCTCATCGTGTTTGGATGCTTTATCCTATCAATGTTAAATCGAGAGTTCGGTCAGGACCACTTCTGTCAAAAGAACTTTAAAAAAAAAAAAAAAACTTTATTCCCAAATGCAGAATGTTATATTTTTAGCGGTATTGCTCTGTTCTGGGCCCTGTGCATACATGGAAAGTTTAAGACAAGGAGAGCAGCAGCAAGAAATCCTCCAGGGTACCAAACAGAGCAAGAATCAGTGACAACCAAGATATAGCATAAAAGGAGGAGCAGCAAAGGTAGAAAGGCTAAAGCTGCTTAAATAAGGCGCCTCGAAGGACATTTATCATTGGATGCTTGAAGGGAATCAGCTGATGTAGCAGGAATTGAAACCTTGACTTTTGATTGTTGGAAAGACTAACAAAGACGGTTTTGGTGAGTTTTATTCTGTTTCTGTCCACTTTGAATGAAGTTATGATGTTATGATCTGTGAGGTAAAATTGACGTTTTTCTCTATGGAGTCTGGTGGAGAGTGATAGGGATCCTTTCCATAATCTTGTCAGACACTTAGAATAACAATCTGAGCCAAAGTACTTTTTATGTTCCACCTCTGGCTGCAGTTTGAATCTGGACACTTAACCCTGTATGGCCTTCAGTTATGAATCAGTTATTACATCAACTGATTGTAATGTGTTGACCTACCCGCCTCTGAGAGTGCTTGTGTACATCCTCTAACTCCTCTTCCTTATCCTCCAATTCCTTCTGATGGATCTGCTTCATCCTCTCCATCTCCATCTCAAAGCGCATGTGGACCTACGAGAGAGAAGAGGGCCGAGGTGAGGAAGACGGCAGCGAGTGAGTATAAATGTGAGCGTGTCTGTGTGTGCGGTGTAAGCACCTGTTGCTGCTGCTGTATTTTGGCAGTGAGTGTGGTGATTTCCTCGGCTCTCTCGCTGGCCTGGCTCTCCAGGAGGCGAAGCTGCTTCTTGAGGTCAGGTAGCGAATCGGAGGCGAGATCAACCGGCAGGCTGAGGTCACGGATCTGAGCGCACAACTCCTCCTTCTGCTTCTGCAGACGGCCCACCTCTGACTGGCTCTCCTGCACACACCCACACAATAAGCACTGCTGATATGAAAAACACTTCAGTTCATCCTCCAACCAGAGATTCTGGGTTTCTGCAGCGCGTCTGCAGCCGGCGCAGGTTAAGCAGCTTAATCTCGCTCAAGGATAGTTTGGCAGGTTTGGCCACAGGGGAGAAACTGAAGCACAGCAACACGAAAACAAAGACAGTAAACAGCAGACTTTTTGTGAGAAGAGAGGAAACAGTTCAACTAAAAAATGTATGTTATGGATTAAGCTGCCTTCCCAGCAGTATAAACATCAGTTAGAATTAACTCTAATCTACCAGCTGCAACATTAAAGTGATGAACACATTAATGCATCTATAATTCGAATATAATTGTATTCTGATCACTACTTTTATTGTTGATATTTTACCTTTTCTACACCGTGGTACTACTTTTACTTAAAGGACCAGTGTGTAGGTTTCAGTGGCATCTAGCAGTGCAGATTGCAACTCCCTCACTTCACCCTTCCAAGTGAAAGGTGTCATATTCAGGTGATTAAACACTAATGAAAACATACCTATGAATATGATGCCTTGATGCCTCTATATGACCAAAATTAACAAACAACACCATCAGAGAGAAGATTGGATATTTCTATATATATGAACTCAATGAAACGAGGCAGTAGAAACCATACTGCTTTTATCCACAGGGGTGCCACAATCACCACAAAATTAAAGTTCCCCATAAGTATTATAGTGAATATTTCAGCTCGCCATTAAGCACAGCGCACAATTAAAAGTAATTTCAGCAGAGTAAGCTAACAGCTAATTCACATAAAATGATCTGGATTAGTAAAAAGAGTTTCTGAATGTATTGAACTTAGAATTTACTTATGAATTAATTCATTAAATAATGTTTTATTTCTTCTTTTACAAGTTACAAAGTCTTAATTTAGAGTTTGAAAGCCTTCTTTACCTGTCCTTTTAGATTTGATTAAAGAACAAAATCACTGACAGGGAACAATAACATTATTCATTTATTACCTTTTATTTCTTTGTTCCTTTCTGTTTCTCTGACTCGCACTTTTATTTTGTGTTTTTCATCTCTCTGTTTCTGATGTACTCCGGCCTGAACAACCATTATTGTGATGGCTCCCGTCCTCCCCTGCAATTATCCATTTAGTTTTATTATTGCATGTCTTTAACCGTCTTGTTTTAGTTGACAACAATGGGAAATTGCAGAGGCAGAGGAGCATAATTGGATGACTGGACTGTGTGTTCAGTGCAGGAGTGAAAGGTCAGATCTCTTGCTGTTTGGATACAATGACATAAACCTTTGAGTATCTGCACAACATACCGTCTGTCATATGTCAGATGTCCCGTTGACTCCAACGTCTCTGACTCATCAATCTACGAGGCAATTTACGTCACTTTACCGGCGTGACATCGTCTCATGAATCATATGTGACAACTGTAATTTCCACAATAGATTATGTGCTCTTTTTTAGGTTTGTTTGATGAATGATGGTCATTGATGTTTACCTTGAAGAGCTCTATTTTATCTGCAGTGTTTGTGTGTGCATTATTGTTGTGTCTGTGAAGTGAAGCCAACAGAAGTGTCTTAAACCTGCAGTCTATGTAACAACCAGCAGGGGGCAGCTCTATTTCCATTCACTCTAATGGAGAATGAGTCGACTTCTCAGTTGATTTATGAGCTCAGTAAACAGTTTCCTGATGAGTTTCTGGTCTCAGTCTCTAGTTTCAACTGTCAGCTGGGA